TTCATGGGTGCAAAATTTTACAATTTATTCTAAAAATTCCGTCTTATGATTTTAATAAACTTTGGGGGATATGACATCCCCACACTCTTCTATGAAATAGTCCCTTCTATACAACATGTTTTGCCTGTGCTCTGTCCATCTGTTGTATAGACATACCATATGTTCAATAAATAAAGAGAAACAAGTCAATTGTTACGAACATTGGTAACCCATATCCTTAATTTTTGAACACTTGTATATTCTATACAAATATATTTACTAGTTATTATATGTACTAATGTTTGTTTATTTTTTAGATGCTATGTCTGGCCAAATCATAATACCTGAACACGAAAGAACATTTAACAAAATAATAGATAATATTTTTAAGCATTCTGACAATAACAAAGCATCACACCAATAAAATCGTTCTGTTTTTTTGTTATTCAATTACATTTTATTTTTTTGTAAATGATTTTTCAAATTTATTTACTTAGATTGTTTCACAGTTTTTTTATTAATAAGCAAAAAAAAAATATAGCACTTTAGGAATCAAAATAAAAACAGTAAAAAAAAAACATGGCAATCTTATGCCATCTTATTGGATGCTACTTATGTGTATTACTCCTTTTGTTGTACTTATGGCAATGATTTTCTTTTATTCCATTTTATGGAAATTAAATTAAAATTACTAATTGTTTTTATAACCACAGTAATATTTTTTTTAATATATCAGCTATTGCAATTTCACAATTTTCTGTACCAATATTAACTATATATTCCTTGTTTAAATTCTATAATACCTTAGTGATTAACTTATTATGATAAAATATTTTTATTGGATTTTTTTGATAAATATTGTACAACAACCAAACTGAGTTACAGTAAATAAATCTCTGACATTGCTAACATCATTATTTTTATTAAAAATTATCTATTGTTATTAATATATATTAATTATAATCAAATTGTATGAATGGATTGTTTACTAATTATCATGTAAGATAAAATAAACCTAAAATTCATAGGTTAACTATTTTACTTTATATATACATATAATATATTTTATTTTATTTTATACATTGTATATATAGTAATACAATTTATTATTTTAAAATTATAAAATTTTTAAATATTTAAAAAACCAATAAATTTAATTTTAAATACCGTAACTGCTAATGAACTAATAAACCGTCGTAGAGCTTGCTTTTATTGAACTAATGAACGATTATTGAACCGTTATCGAGCGTTTTATAGCTGAACCGAGTAACGGTCTTTGAACTCTTACTGAACTTTTGTAGAACTCAGTTCACCTCATGTTAAAATCCGTTGTAAAGTTGTATCTCTAACAACACTACCTTTTATCTTTGTAAATAAACAAAACCTTTGTGTCTTAACGTTGATCAGCACAAATAAATCCTGTATATTGTCAATANCGCAAATAAATCCTATATATTGTCAATATAATAACTACTAATGTATATACTATTGCCAGTCTGCTGCGCCTTGTCCGTCTTGTCGTCCTACTTCCATTTAGGATCTGCTTGTATATTGCAATGTAATAATAATTACCGACGCATAAGCCACTGTCCGTCCGCTGCAGCGTGTTTGCATTGCCGTCCGATCTTCTCTAAATTTCTANACTGTCCGTCCACTGCAGCGTGTTTGCATTGCCGTCCGATCTTCTCTAAATTTCTATTTGGAGCTACTTGTGAGACAAATTCTTTCCGCTGCTTTACTACCCGTCTAGTAATATTTACTGTATGTTTTCCCCACTAAGACTGTTGCATCTCTGTCTACAGATATAATATCTAATAATTATGTAACAGTTATAGAAAACATAACGATGTTAAATAAAATGTTTTACTTCCTGCTTCAAAGACAATATACTATATTACACTACCATATGTTGAAATACAAATATGCCGTTATATTAAAAAATACATAAAGTCCACTATCAAAGGATGATCTGTAGGAATAAAAAATTTTTGATATTTTAATAGTGTAGTAAACATTAAAATATGACTTTTTTTATTAAAGATAGTGAACCGAACATATTATTCATTAATAATTATTAATTATAATTTTATTTATATTGACTTTGAATCGTATATTGTTTTTATTGTTAATAAATACGTTTACTTATTTACAATATTATTAACACCAATATATATTGGTACATCTTATATAGATAATTGTTTTATTTTTAATTTGTTTTACTTATCATAAAAGGAAAGAAATTGATTGGATAGATTTGTGAAGATTTACTTTTGTGCATTAAAAATTATTGTTCATATTTGAAACTCAAAGTTATTTTATTATTATTATCTGTATACAGGGTGATCGGTTTATCATGAACCACTCGATTACTCGCAAAATAAATACAATATTGCAAAACAAAATTTAATTTCTTGATTTATCAGCTAATAATTACTTTAAAAATCATCCCTTATAACTTGGAGGGGCTTAAACTTTATTTTTTGTTAATGGCAACATACATATTTAACTAGCCTATAAAATTGAAAATATTTTTATTAAAACAAATCTACAAGAGACAGCGAAGATTTTATACATTATGTATATTACATTAACAACAGCCAGAAAGTTAACGGAACAGTAATCGTTCATTACATGGGTTCTACGGAAAACATTGTACCTTCTACGCACGGAAACAGACGAGCGCATATTCACATAAAGCACACTCGTACAGCTCCCTTGCAGTTAAAGGGCCAACGTGAACTGTCTTATGAACCGTCAGGCAACGTTTACAAAAAATTCGTTTGTTCCGGCGACAAACATCCTAGTCTCGAGGCCGTGTATCATCCGAGAGACGAAAAACAAGTGAAAAACACATCGGAAAACTATGTTAAAAAGACGAAAGTCAACAGTCGAGCGCATACGTCATTGGGCACATTCGTACAACTCCCTGATAAGAATAGGACAACCTTAAGTATCTAGNTCATGAGAATAGGATAACCTTAAGTATCTAGTCATCCGTCAGGCAATGTTTATTAAATATTCGATTGTTCCGGCAACATACATACGAGTCTCGAGGCCGTAATCACCTGAGAAACGAAAAACAAGTAAAAAACATTTCGGAATTCTTTCAAAATTTTCAAATAATATTTCACGGTGCTGTTTTTTTATATGGGTTATATTTATANTTACGTTGCTGTTTTTTTATATGGGTTATATTTATATGTAATAAAACTCTTTAAAAGGATTATTCGTACTGTCTATTGGTTTGTCAATACAGAGGATTGATTGGCCTATAAAGTTACCGCAGTCACCTAAACCAGTTCCAGAGGTGTTCTCAAATTTAATGAAATGTAAAATTGTGCACTGTATTGAGAATTTATTTTTTGGTTTGTTGCTATAAAAAACAACCGCGACACCTCTAATGATTTGTTGGAATGTGTTTTATTGTTTGTAACAATGAGAACAATAGAAACCCGTTNTCTACAGGGTGTTCAGTAAGTCAGGAAACGGGTTTCTATTGTTCTCATTGTTACAAACAATACCCGTTTCCTGACTTACTGAACACCCTGTATATTTAATTTATCAATCCCGCATTATTCCATACAAAACAGGACATTTATATTTATACTATAATGAAAACAAGCGAATGCACATATAATAAAAATGTCATAATTTGTATTGTAATAGGTAAAATATTTACTAATAAAAAAAACATAATGGCTCGAAGTTCTGATAAGTAATCGATAAATGATAACCACCCTCCGTTAGAAAATTCGAGGAATCCAACAATAAAGCCGTCGATCATTTGTTTTATTAAATTTTCTATACACAATAAGCAAAATAAGCTATTCTATTAACTTAAGTCATCAGCGGCTTTGACAAATTGTACATTATTCAGGGTTGTTTTGAACACTCATTATTTAATACAGTGTTTTAAACGCTTTTATAACACCAATAATTTCAATATTTACAGTGGTCTAATGAGACATTTTAAACGTTTTAAATTGTTTACTTATGTTTTAAAGAAATTTATTTTAATAAATAAATTTTTAACAACCTTGATATTATTCCTACAGGATTGAGTTATTATGGCTTTTATTTTTATACGAATACTTAATTTTATTATAATTTAATGTCGATAATTAAGACAAGCAGTTCGTAAAAATCTTATGTTCATAATTTCTATATACGTTGTTTTTTAAAATTTACCTACAAACCCATTTTGTTGTCATATTTCTAAATTACTCTTGGCGTATTACATTTTTGTGATTTTTAAATTTTTGAGACAGGTTTATACACAAATAATAACAATTATTGTTTTCGGTGGTAATGCGACACACCTGATTTCTGTAGCTATCGAGATATTATTTCATAAAAAATGACTATTAAACAACAATTTTTGCTAACACTTTATATATATGATGACCGTGATTATTATAAATAATCTTATATACCTTCTTACGTACAATTTGTAACCCTTACTCATTGATTTTATTGGAATTTCACATCAGTACAGTATTGTGCATAATTAGTGAACAATGTACATTAAAAATGAGTACAATTATGGTTAATATTGGGATTGAAATCCCAGATAACTATTAACGAGAAACGGTTGTTATACCAAATATGTTATTAGATACGTTAATGAATCAGGCAAGTGAAAAAATAATAATCATTTTTATTTATAATTAATCACCTACAACAATTTAAAAGTTTATATAACTGAAAAGTATTTAATAACTAACTGTCATTTAATAATATTTTCAAGAATATCACATAAGTAGGGTAATTTAGGGGATTCTAGAACCCCCGCCTCACCCCTTCACCCACCCACTTTTATTGGAGTAAGCGTGGTCGGGGGGAGGGGCGTGTCACACAGTGGGCGTGTCATCGTCATCGTTAATTGTCGTCAAGACATAATATTGCAACGGAGTGGTACAGATTTAAACTGTATTTACTCGACAAATGAAAATTTATCAAGTTGTAAAATTATTTTGAACAAAGTTATATGGAAAGTTCCACATGTAAGTGTGTCGGATGCCATGCGGTTAGATATGCTCAAAATCTCGGAAACCTCAACACCGCTTCAAATAGCATTTCGAAGTTGGGATCTATATGAATATCTCGGCATATCAAATAGTAAAAAACAATCCTGGACTGTGAAAACTTCATCGCAGACTGAGAGCCCGAGATTTGTTATCGTAGCATTTCAAGTGGATAGAAAAAATAAAATAAACAAAGATAGTAGTAGATTTGACCATTGTTCGTTATCATCTCTAAAAGTATACTTGAATTCGGAATCGTACCCCTNATTGTACTTGAACTCTGAATCGTACCCCTACGACAACTTGCGAATGGACTTTCCAAATGATAAATATGCTGTACCATATCACATGTACACTCAATTTCAAGAGGCGTTCTATGAAAAGGAGATGACGTATCCAATGCTGACAAAAACAGAATTCAAGACAATTGCTCCACTCATTGTCATTGACTGTTCGAGGCAAAACGAAAAATTAAAAAATGCGCCTGTAGATATTAGATTAGAATTTGAATCTGATGAAAATTTTCCGACCAACACTACAGCATATTGCTTAATTGTACACGACAAAATGTTTGAATATAATCCTATGACTAATGAAGTTCATAAAATATTATAATTTGTTATTTTCAAAAAATAATGTAAACAATTTTATTTATAAAATACTAATAATTACTTGAATATATATTTTGCTATTCTAAAGGAATGTGTTATTTACTTTAATACCTTATCTTTATTATATTTCATTTATTTAGTACATAAATCAAAAGCGAATAGTTTAAATAATATAATGTGTAGGCGTGAAAAAACGATGAACGATATCATTTTTTGTCATAAAATATAGCCGACAATGATTATTACTGTACGGCGGTACCTTTGATGTTTGAAATATGCTTACCTAAGCGTCTGGTAGCTCATGATAAAAATTCTTAGAAATGCAGACATGTTATAATATAGTAATACATTCGATGTCTGGAATATGCTGACCCAAGCGTCTGGTAGGTAATGATAAAATTCTTAGATAAAGATAACTTTGATAAAACGCAGACAGCAATTATAAAATGTTGACGGTAATATGAGTCATAATATTGCGGTACCTTTGATGTTGGAAATATGCTTACCTAAGCGTCTGGTTACCCATGATAAAATTCCATAACGACAAACGTTGCCATTGTTCTCATAAAAAAAATTACAGACGCTTATGAGCGATGTAATGTAATGATACCTTTAATGTTTGAAATATGCTTAGCTAAGCGTCTGACACCCGATGATAAGATTCATACGATTTTACTGTACAGTGATCTCTTTGATATTTGAAATATGCTTATCTAACCGTCTGTTAGTCTGGGTTATAATATGGCGGTACCTTTGACGTTGGAAATATGCTTAGCTATGCGTCTGGTAGCCAATAGTAAAATTGTTATAATTTATTTATTATATACATTCTATAGATGTGCGGCAAATTAGTATAAGTCTTGTTTCATCACCACCCATTATAGGTTAATTTAATTCAAGATTCATTACCCCTTCCTATGTAGGAATTGTTGATGAAGACTTTGTAGCGTTAATATTAAACAATTGAATTACACTATTTCAATGTAATGTGTATGCTATATCAATTATATTCAATCAAATATATCAATTCAAATCAATGAATATTATCAGTTCCGTTATCAGTTAACTGATAACGGAACTGATAAAGTTCATTGATAAGCATACACATTACATTGAAATAGTGTAATTCAATTGCTTAATATTAACGCCACAGGGGTGTCTGTCAACAATTCCTACATAGGAAGGGGTAATGAATCTTGAATTAAACTAACCTATAATGGGTGGTGATGAAACAAGACTTATACTAATTTGTCGCACATCTATAGAATGTATATAATAAATAAATTATAACAATTTTACTATTGGCTACCAGACGCATAGCTAAGCTTATTTCCAACATCAAAGTTACCGCCTTATTATAACCCAGACTACCAGACGCTTCGATAAGCATATTTCAAACATTAAGAGGAACATTACATTATATCGCTCATAAGCTTCTGTAATTTTATATGGTAACAATTGTAACGCTGTCTGTGTATTATTAAATGTTCAACTATAAATTCTAAGAAATTTATCATAGGTAACCAGACGCTTAGGTAAACATATTTCCTACATCAAAGGTACCGCTATATTATAACGTTCATAGGCGTCTGCATTTTCATTTTTTACATAGTATTTTANTGTTACATTTAAAGTCGCTCCCCTACCACCAGCACCTCCGAGTCGTAACTAAGTTTATCATTTAATGTATACATTACATTGAAATAGTGTACGTCAAGTAGCGGCCGCCGTCACCACACTTGTCCTTGACTATTACAGAAGCTATAATTAATTGAATTATACATAATAATTATAACGTCGTTATCACTGGTTACAATTAAGTAATTGTCACCGTCGAGAACGTCCTACATACAATCGTTGATGCGTCCACGTGCACTAGTAAATCGGGGCTATCAGCTAAATCCTGGTAGAAGTCGCCTACTCTGAGTAGGTATATGAAGGAGTCTGAAAAAAATTAAAAATATATAAATGTTGTAAAAAAATATTTCTACTGTACGGTTGTACTCACCAGTATCCATGTAAACCAATTCAATTGCACTGCCATAATGTGGTTTCAATACGTCGTAGAAGTACTTGTACATTAGCGTATTGCTAATGTCAAGCACTGCTAAACCGACGTATATTGGTTTGATAAACTTGACCATCTTTGTGTCCATTATGACGGCGCACAACCTTTCACCGTATTTGATACAGTCGTTGAAGGTTGGTTGGTTTACGAGCTTGCTTAGACGTTCGGGACTGGAGATTAGCTTATTACGGATGCGTTTCCGCATGTTCTCCATTGTTTTCCCTATAAAATGTAAAAAAATATCGAATAACCCACCTTAGCATTGAGCATGCACTTACCAAAGACGGAATTATTCGTTAGTTTGAAAAATGCTATTTCAAAAGCATTTGCCGCCTGTTTCCGCATTTCAGTGTTCAACTCAATGTATGGTTTCAACCAAGCACTTTGTTGAAACTCTAAAACGCGGTGCACCTGCAGTACAAATATTTATATTAGTATCATCGCTTATAGTTTATAGGTTAATTACACANTGGTATCATCGCTTATAGTTTATAGGATAATTACACATACTTTATCGACTTGCAGTCCGTGTGCGATTGCCTGTTTTAAGTTGACATAGTGTACGACATACCGCTGTTTGGGTTTCAAAGTGGCCATGAGTTTGGTCTCTTTGGAACCCGGCGGTACATCGTTGACAGGCAAGAACGGCAAGTCGTTGTGCTCGTCATGCAGCTCTTGTGGATACGATACGTCNTTTTGTGGATACGATACATTAGGTAACCGGCCAAGGTGGACAGGGAGGAGGGCATGAATCGGAAGGTGTCGACGAACCGAATGGAGAAGTTATTGGTCACGTGTTTCGTGACCGAAATATACTTCTCCTCGGAATTCGGTATGACCGAAATCCTTTGATCGTCGTACCCCAATTCAGTGACGATGAAATGCGCGTCGTAACCTGAAAGATTGTGCAAGAANAATGCGCGTCGTAACGTGAAAGATTGTGCAAGAAACACGGCACAAAGTTGACCGTCTTCACTTTCAGGTTACAAGCATTGCACAACGTCTGTCTGAATCGGCCCGATAAATGGCAGTGGTCTGCGACTTTGGGGTTGGAATCCTTGAATGCCGTGCGGCACAAGTCGCATACCACTTTCTCCCGTGCCTGCGCACATCATCGACAGACATTTGGATGGGAACGTTGGTTTTGCGCAACAATTTAGAAATGTTGCGCGTCAATTCAGTTACAGCCATCACAAATGCCTTGGCGACCTCTTCGCGATCCTCGGACCCACGGAATATCACCGATGATTGTGGTATACCATAGAAAATGTCGATAGCTCGCGAAATTTTCCACATTCTTCCGGTAAAACCAAACGGCTCCCCGCTCCAATGCGGAATCGATCTCGGTGAAATCATTGGTAACCTTTTCGACCTAACCGCGCTGTTGTTGGCCCTACTACGCTTAGCCGCCTGATTTGACGAAACGAGGTAGCTTTAATCAAAAATAAATAAATAATTTATTTATTGGAAAAAAAAATNGCATCTGATGATAAGATTCATACGACAATAATCATTACTGTGCGGTGACCTCTTTGATGTTTGATATATGCTGACCTAAGCGTCTGGTAACCGATGATAACATTCTTAGAAAAAGATAACTTTGATAAAACGCAGACATCAATTATAAAATGTAGACAGTAATGTGTGTTATAATATGGCGGTTGGTTTCAAGTTAAGTTTCATTACCCCTTCGCTCATTAGGACTTGTTGAGGAGATCCCCCTCCCCCGATTTGGGTTAGTTTTCATTGGGTGTCACCCATTATGCGCACGTCATACCCAATTCGGTTTATCCACTTAGGTGTTATCACCGAAGTGTTATTACCAACGATTGTATGTAGGACGTTCTCGACGGTGACAATTACTTGATTGTAACCACCGAAAACGACGTTATAATTATTATGCATAATTCAATTAATTATTCAATTAAAAATGAATTAAATTATTTATTTATTGGAAAAAAAAAAAAATAGTAGGGATGATAAAATTAAAGAGATATTCAAATGTTAATAATTGTAAAAATCTATATACCTGTTACAAAAGACGTTTGCTGGTTCATGATTTCTTATTTGCGCGTGAAAATATTAAAATAATAAATTTATAGTTTTCAAATAATCAACTGTGCGTTAACGTTAATTAAACATGAATGTGACAGGATACAGAGCGNGTGTTAACGTTAATTAAACACGAATGTGACAGGATACAGAGCGTTTAACCGGTTATATAGTAAAATAATAAAATGCGTAGGCGTGAAAAAAGAAATCTTGCCATTTTTCTCATAAAATGCATACAGCAGTGACCATTAATATATTGTAACATCTTTGGAAATATGATTACCTAAGCGTCTGGCATCCGATGATAAGATTCATACGACAATAATCATTAGTGTGCGGTGACCTCTTTGATGTTTGAAATATGCTGACCTAAGCGTCTGGTAAACGATGATAGCAATAGTTGTCATAAAACGCGTAGGCGTGAAAAAAGACAACGTTGCCATTTTTCTCATAAAATGCATACGACAGTGATTATAACTGTACGGCGACATCTTTGATGTTTAAAATATGCTTACCAAAGTGTCTGGTAGCCAATGATAAATTTTTTATAAATTATTTATTATATACAATCTATAGATGTGCAGCAAGTTTGTTTACGACAGGTTTCATACGCACCCCTCCCATTAGATTAGTTTAAGTTAAGTTTTATTACCCCTTCGCTCATTATGACCTGTTGAGAAAATCCCCCTTTCCCGACTTAGGTTAGTTTTCATTGGGTTTCACACATTGTGCGCACCTCACACCCAATTGTCTTAATAGAGTTTGTTACAAATCGTTCAAGGAATAGTCAAGTGTGGTGGCGGCGGTCGCTACTTGACGTACACTATTTCAATGTAATGTATACATNCGGTCGCTACTTGAAGTACACTATTTCAATGTAATGTATACATTAAATGATAAACTCAGTGATGACTCGGGGGTGCTGGTGGTAGGGGGCGACTTTAAATGTAACACCGCTATTTATAGGTATAAAAAATTGTCAAATTAAATATAATATAATAAAATGCAACACACATATTATTATTTTAAAGGCGCAGTAGAAAATAATAATAATAACCAATAGCGATTATACTATTATAGCAACCGATAACGACGAACATAGTTAATTCTAAAAATATATTACCAATTATAGTAATTATATTAATTATATAATTAATAGTAATATACTAATATTAACGAGATGTTTTTCTAANTCATCTTGTGCTTGTGATTCAAAGACTAGCGAAGACTCTCCTTGAAACGTAGTCTTTGAGAGTGTAACGTATCTATCCTTGAGTAAAATAATCTTTTGTCTTGATACAGGGTCGAAAAATAGGAACAGATTATTACTCATCAACGTATAAATCCGTTGTAGGAAATCTATCGATATAAGTATGTAACGGGTTGACGATAGTATACGAATAGTTACGTTAAATCGATCTTTTGGATCCAATCCTATCTGAACGAATTTACGAGGATTGAAATTCAAAACGTAATCAGTGCAATCGATTAATTCACTGTGAGGTTGGGGTTTAGCAAATGTTTGTTTGNATTGTGAGCTTGGGATTTAACAAATGTTTGTTTGTTATAGAATTTGGCAATTGTAGCGAGAGAACCAGCCATTCTTAAAGTGTACAAATATTAACATAACACATTACCAACAAGTTAAAGTAACGTCTGTTTATATAGAAAATCTTATAACGATTAGAGCGCTATGCTTACACCACGGTGAAGTTATTAACTAATTTAAACCCAATAGTAATTAATAGTCAAATTTTCGTCGTTAGATATGATACAAACAGTTGTAAACACAAGCAGACGGGGTTCAAACAGGATGAACAGGGATTTGAACGCGTTCAGACAGGTTTTAACATGTTCAGACTTGTTGAATTGAGATTGTACGATTCCAGGATACATTGTTTGGTAAACCGACACAGTGTCCCTACTACTTTTATAAAGTAGTACTATAGACTTATATTTAATATTCATTATACACAAAGGCATAAAGTGTAGATAAATACGACAAAATTGTATAAAATAAAAAATAGTATATTTTATTGAATTTTAAATCTTACAAGTTTATGATAATAAGTTTTTTTTTATTTTATATAAATAAGTTTAAAAAACAAGGCAAAATATTAACAAACTTCTGAAAATCAAACAAATATGCATTTCCACTTTTGCCTCTATATAATAAATGTAATTTGTTGTCATCATTGTTGATATTGTAAGCTTCGATTTCTTCATTAGTTAATTTCAATCTCGGGATAAACACATTCATATTGTTGAACAGACAACCAACAATGTCAACCCCATTTCGTGTGCTTGTATTTTTCATAGATATGATTTTGTATGGCGTGTGTTCCTCCAAATCACTTAATTTTGAATATCTTTTTAATGCACTCTGATCGTTCAACTGTTTCTTTAATTGCTCCANGTACTCTGATCTTTCAACTGTTTCTTTAATTGCTCCATTCTAAAATAAAAAAATAATAAATATTTAACAACTCTAAACATAACTAGTAACCAAAGTCAGTAGAAAATAGTTTAAATGAAAAATATATATAAATGTATTACTTACTTTATTTTATATCAAAAGTGATAGAAATTCTTTAGGACAACAAATAATCAGACAAATGGTATGTGGTATAATCGCTTTAGAAAAGATAATGAGTGAATAAGACTGAAATTGATGTGACGTTCTTTTATAGAGGTCAAAGATCTTGTTTAGACAAGTTTGGGTTGGTTTAAACAGGTACTACACAAACAATGTCAGAAATATGCTGACGTAAGTGTCTGGTAAACGATGACACAATAGTTTTCATAAAACGCGTAAGCGTGAAAAATGGCAACGTTGCCATTTTTCTCATAAAATGCATACGACAGTGACCATTAATATATTGTAACATCTTAGGAAATATGCTTACCTAAGCGTCTGGTTACCCATGATAAATTTCTTAGAATTTATTATACCATAACGACAGACGTTGTCATTGTTCTCATAAAATGCTGACGCCTATGAGCGTTATATTATAGTACTGATGTCGGAAATATGCTTATCTAAGCGTCTGGTAGGCAATGAAAAAAATTCTTAGAAAACGTTGTTATTTTAAGTTGGATTCATCCCCACCGATTACAGGTTAGTTTATTTCAAGATTCATTACCCCCTTCCTATGTAGGAATTGTTGACGGAGACCCTGTAGCGTTAATATTAAGTAATTGAATTACACTATTTCAATGTAATGTGTACGCTTATCAATGAACATTATCAGTTCCGTTATCAGTTCACATGAGGTTTATCTTATCTTCTAGTAGATGACATCGTAGGAGGAGACAAACATATGGCTACCTCCTCTCACCACTGATATGTAGTTATAATGCGCATGCGCACTTTAAACCGCCATTTTGATTGATCTTAAACATCCCTACCTAAGTCATCTATTACCTCTACCATCGTGGTATCACGCCTCCCTTACCCCCACCCTCATAAATCCACTCCTTCCTTACCACCACCATCGAAAGACCACGCCCACTGTGTGACCTTAACAACGGTCAATACCCCCACCATCGAGAGACCACGCCCACTGTATGACCTTGACATTACCCCCACCATCGAAAAACCACGCCCACTGTATGACGCGCTCCTCCCCCCG